GGGCTTAACCTTAATTAAACCACCAAGCAGGACTCACTCAGGTGAGCCATGAAAGATTTGCCTGGATTTCAAAATAAAGCAACAAATGATTGTTAAAGTAAGTCCACCTGATCTAAAGTTTAGAAGTTCAGTGTTCAAGCAATAACTATTAGTAAAGGGAGAAAAAAAAATTAAGTGGTTGGTAAGGGAAAGATAATTACATTGTCAACATAATCTTTTTTTGAGTTGGGGTTTGATTCAGAAAGCTCTTAAAAGCTGCTTTCTGAATCACCCTGAAATCTTTTTCATGGATGCTATTTTTGTAACTCTGTGTAAATCTGATGTCTTTCTTTGCAGAGAAAAGCCATTCTTTCTTTGTGATTGAAGAATATGGATATTGAAAAACACAAATTATGCTCTTATATTGTTTCTAAGTTCCTAAAGAATATGAGATATTATCCAATTGTACATACATGGTGAATTTATTCTAATCTGTTGAAAGCCCCTTAGGAAGTCAGAGCAAATGCAGAAGATTTCTTTAAGTCTCGAAGACTGCAAATGTCTTCGAGGTTAATGTTGAACTCTGTAGTTACGTCACTGGCGAAAATCACCTTACTTTAGATAAGAGACGAATCATACTTATTTCTTAGAGGTTGCCCTGCATCAGGGGCTTTTAATAATTGTTTTATAGTTTTCAATCAGGGAGAAGGTTGAAAGTATTGATTCAGGAGATTTTATTAGATACAATAAGACAACTGAGGCAATAATAGCAATGGAACTCATCCTAGAAACAGGAGCAATGGGACATATCACAAGTAGGATGAATAAAGAAATAAAATTAGTGAAATAGCCAAGCATAATGCAGAATCTGATGGTTACGGGGGTGGGGAGGAAGGGGGTGGGAAGAGATAAACTGGGAGTTCAAGATTTGCAAATATTAACTACTATATATAAAAATAGATAAAAAACATATTTCTTCTGTATGGCCCAGGGAACTATATTTAGTATCTTACAGTAACTTATAATGAAAAAGAATATGAAAATGAATATATGTTATGTCCACATATGACTGAAACATTATGCTGTACATGAGAAATTGACATATTGTAACTGACACATTGTAACTGATTATACTTCAAAAAAAAATTAGTGAAATAATTTGTCTGGATAATCTCTAACATTGTATTACATTTATCTAATGTGAATCCAAATGGATATCCCTACAGCAGATTTATGATTCCACTTTTTAATTTCTACTATTTAATTTATAATCATGGATTTAGCAAACAGTATGTATACCGTTATGCACAGCACATGACAACATAATAGATGCCCCTAATTTTCCCTGTCCTCACTCCAAAACTAGGATAACCCCTACTGTATGCTCTCATAGCCTCTGGCACTTTTCTTTCCTAGTGTGTAATTATTTATTATCTGTAGCCTTTAGGGTTGCTAGATTTAGCTAGTTAGAAATGCCAGATGCCTAGAGAAATCTGAATTTTAGATAAACAAGTCATTCTTCAGTATAAATTTTTCCTGTGCAACTTTTTGATGCATAAGGTGACACACTTATAATGAGCTGAAATTGTTTATCTGAAATTCAAATTTTATTGGGCATTCTGGATTTAATCTGGCAATCTTTGTAGCTTACTTGTTTATATCTGTGTCTCTCACAGACCACAAGTTTTAGGAGACATGGTACCACCACCAGTATCTGCAGTGGGTCTAGCACAACTTAGGTACTTAATATGTAGTGGTTAAATGCCTAAAAGGATGAATGATATGGAGTACAACTGAGGTTCAGAGAATTTAAAACCGAAAGTAGCAATTCTTGCCAGTGAGATTCTACAAGTCTACCATCTTTACATATTACATAGTTAATCAACTACAATAGATAAACAAGGAGGAAATTCCTTTTAAAAGGGAGATTGCAAGCAACTGATTCTACCAGTGCAATTAACCTTCAGTTTTTAATTTTCAGTTACTACTTTTTCAAAGACAGTTACTGCACAAAGCAAGTGAGACTTGTATTTTTAAGTGTTATGACAGATTGCAGCTCATCTTTTCTACCAGGATATCTAAAACTGAAAAAGAGGTTTGGACAGGATGGACAGGAGATGTTTCCAGGCCATAAATGGAGAAGGTGGCACAAATTTTGAACTCTTTATCATCGCATCTTATTTACTGAATTCCCACAAGTGTTCTGTTTTACATTAGAAAAAGCAAAACAAGTTACTCTTAAGGAATTTTGTTAGCTCATGAAGAGCCAGTGTCTTAAATGAGCTCTTTGTAAGGTTTAGTTTCTAAACCATGGAGCAGGACTCACTTAGGTGAGTCATGGAAGTTTAGAAAACAGATGGTAGAAGCAGAAAAATGCCTTGGAAAAGCAAATACAAATGTGGTGTCTTAAATGCTGGGAACGTTCATCTGGATCAGTCACAGATGCCCACAAAGTGCAGCCTCTCACTGTGGCTTGAATAGCATCCCACATCGCTGTTCACAGATGTCCACAAGCAGGTGGGTCTGGGAGTCTGAGGTTCACGTTCTAGGGCTTCGATTAGCCCCAAGCTCAACCTGTCCTTCAGTTCACTGGCTCTAGAAGGGAAAACAGTCACGTCACACTGAGAACACTGGCAGACACTTAACTAGTCTTTAAGAAGGTCTTTTAGAATTTTTAAATTTTAATTTCTATTTTTTAATTGAAGGATAGTCGATTTACAGTGTGTTAATTTCTGGTGTCCAGCATAGTGATTCAGTTATACATATATATTTCCTTTCATACTCTTTTTCATTATAGGCTATTAGAAGTTCCCTGTGCTGCACAGTAGGACCTTGTTGTTTATCTGTAAGAGGGTCTTCACTTGTCATGGGGAAGTCGGATGGCTTCAGCTGTGTCACCACCAGTCAGCCATAGATTTGGAGTGTGTTGTCTCCCAAGGTGAATTCTCATGTCATTACCACTACTTCATTTCCAGCCTCTCAGTTGAGCAAGGAAACGCTCCCATCTGCCCAGAGAAAATTCTCTAGAAAAAGTGGTAGCTACATGTAGTTGAAAGCCAACACTCACTGCAGCCGGGGGACAAGTCCTCACGCCTGGTAATTGTATGTATTATTCACAATTGTGGATTATCAGTGATGCCAACAGTAATGTGTATCTATATACATATTTAATATTTATTTATTTATTTAGTGTTTTGTTTGTTTTTGTTTTTAGGGGAAGGTAACTCAGTTTATTTATTTGCTTATTTATTTTAATGGAGGTAGGGGAATTGAACCCAGGACCTCATGTATATTAAGCCTGCACTCTACCACTGAAGTCATACCCTCCCCCCAACAATACTGTATTGCGTATCTAGGAGAGAATCACACCATGGCTGTTGAATACAAGAATCAACAGTATTTTTGAGGAGACACCATGCATACACATTTGAAACAATCTGAGAATAGAAGACCAAATTTAATTAAGTGACATACAGTACAGTTACACATCCTAGGAGAGAACAAAATGTCTGAGTCCCGTAAGTATACAATGACTCCCGAATTTCAGTAGAGGAATGGGTTTGGGGCTTAGCATTGAAAGGTAAGCCTTGAATAGATGGAAAGGAAGGTATTACCAGCTAACAGCATAAAGGTTTGAAGATGATCATTACCTTACATAGTGAAGGATTCTGTTGATGGAAACTTCATTAGCTGGAACTGGTGGCTGTAATCTGGAGGTAAAATGAACCAGATTAAGAATATTTTGAGTATTTTCTTCTTTCCAGTCTTTCTAAGTGCCCCATGTTCATCCTCTTTTTTTTTTTTTTTTTAATTTTCTCTTTGTTGAAGTATAGTCAGTTTACAATGTTCTGTTAATTTCTGGTGTACAGCATAGTGATTCAATTATACATATATTCCTTTTCATATTCTTTTTCATTATGCATTATAAGATATTCAATATAGTTCCCTGTGCTATACCCTTGTTCATTTTCTATTAGGGAACTTTTGAAAAAGATCTACGAATGGAAATTTTTCTTAAGGTCCTAAAAATCGTAACTTTCAAACTGTTTGTAACTATTCAACTATTTGTTTGCAACTGTTCAAATTATTGTAACTCCTTGCATAGATTAATTTAAAATTTACTAGTGTAGACAAAATTTTGGATTTATTTCCAAATTTTTTAATTAGTGTCTTATAGGAAGTGAGATCATGCTTCTTTTTTTCAAGGTCATATATGCTGCCATTAAATAAAATTATGCTGGAGTCAGACTCTCTTTGGCACAAATCTTAGAGATGTGACCGTTAGCAATTTACTTGATCTCTTTGAGCCTCAGTTTTATTATCTGTAAGGAGAGGATATTTCTACATATCTGACGGGGTTTTGTGTGAAGTTTAGACACAATTCACGTAAAATGCTTAATAAAGGGCATATTTAGTAAGTTCTCAGCAGATGAGAATCGGAATGAATACTCAAATGGGAGTTTTAGTTTCATCACCATTGTCATATTTGACATACAAATGAAAAGCAATATGGTGGAGAATCCAGCCTCTGGAACAAGACTACCTTGGTTCAGATCTGGTCCCTGGTACTTACTTCGGGTGACCTTGGGTGTGTCCCTTATTCTCACTATGCCTGGAAGTAGAGATAATAGTAACCCCTACCTCATGGAGTTGTTCTGAGGATGAAATGAGTTGACACATGTAAAGAACTTAGTCCCAGGGAGGAGAGTGTAGCTCAAGTGGTAGAGTGTATGTGTAGCATGCATGTGGTCCTGGGTTCAATCCCCAGTACCTCCTCCAGAAATAAATAAGTAAACCTAATTACCTCCCCCCAACAAAAAAAAAAAAAAAAGAAATTATTCCCGTGCCTGGCACCTGGGATGTACTTTATATATGTTAATGTTACTGTTTTCTAGAAGTTTGAGAGCCAAAGTTAAAAACACGTGGACATTTGTTTAAAGACATCTGATCTTGATCCCTCCAAAGGTGATCCAGGAATGGGTAACCTATTGCTAAATGGTTGTGAGGACAGTGCTACGTTGAAAAATATGTCTACTTTTGCCTGTCCTTCAGCCGCGTCGTTGGAGGAAAGTCAACCATGGCCTCTGCAAAGAAGGTATTTGAGAAGCGGCATAACCCAGTGGAAAGCATCTGCAGAAAAATCCGAGCCATCCAAAAGAGAGAGATTTCACATCCCATCCGACACATTGTCAGATACCAGTCTAGCAGCTTTGACAGTCCACAGACTAACCCCAAGAAGGATCTTGAAGAGGTGCTGAGAAGAATGATTGCTGCCCACGTGCCTCCGCCCAACACGCTCTCCTCGAGTTCTGAGAGAGGTGATGCCTTCATTTCACCTCCTCACATCGCATCTCCAGGAGATCCACCCAGCTCCCACCCTGGCTCTCCTGAGAGTGTAGCACACTCTGCTATCCTCAGAAGGTCTGAAAACATCTCAAGGCCGAGATCACAGAGCCCCCAGAATTGCACATCTTTGAGATCCCAGGTCAGAAAAAGGGAGCACTTCTCTAACAAGGATTTGAACAACTATTGTAATGAAAATGATTTTCGTTCCTTAACACTTGACTTTGATTCTGCCTCTGACCAAAGCTCCGGATTTTTCACTCCTCAGGATTCAGTGGTGAAAAAATTATCTCTGAATGAAGAGGGTAAATATTCATCTTTTAATATCTGTTTTTCTGATAAAGCAATAAGTATACCACTATCAGAATACTTGAACTGCTTGAACTAAAATAAAATACCGGTGTACGTGACCAAAACTCGGAAGGAAGAACCCATTTTTTCCCTTTCAAAGTGTGTTTTTCTCTCTTAAAAACATCTTATATGTGAAATATAAGTCTTTTCTATGCTTTGGATTATAAACTTGATAGAAATTCTGGATTAAGTTTACAATCGTAATCATTGGTATTTCTCTACTGACCTGAAAACAGACTTTCTCCAGGGCAAATTAGAACATCACAGTGGGAATACACAGATAGAGGGGAGTTAAAATCCATACAGTTCCAGGGTGCCTTGCTGAAAGCTACCATTTTAGCATTTGTGTTTGTGTAAAACGTGTAAGAAGGTGTGAGTTCCACTGTCAAGACCATAAGGTAGACCAGGGGAGAATGTAAATTTTGTAGGCCAATTTCAATTAAAATTTTGGAATTCTATTTGGAGAATTGCTTACAAAGTCCCACATACGATTGGCACTGAAAACCAAAATGATGTAAAATGACACATTTTCTGAATAGCTAGTTTTTGCTTTCTTTCGATTTTTCTTTAAAATATTTCTACTTGTGTTACACTATTTGCTTTTTCACAAAGTGCTTTTGATTTACAGAGCAGTGAAGTTCATTTCCCTCTTCATCTCTCCGTTTATTCTACCTTTATAAAACTTAGAACGAAAAGAAAAATGAATAATCAGAGACCTTTCCAGACCCCTTTTTGGCGTGGTCTAGTCAAGTTAAGTAACCAGGATTGTGGGCAGCTCTTTATTGAAATGTTTCCTTTGTGAAAATTAAAACAGAAAATTAGCAAGTAATCATGGTAGCACAGAAAAGCATGTGGGTTTGCAAACTTTTTCTTCTAATAGGATGGAACCTAGGAACTGAGGATGGCAAGGAAGATGTAACCCATAGCACTACCAGGACCTGTGATGAAGAGTGGCTTACGAGCATTTTTTGTGCATGTGACAGAAAATGTAGAGGTCAGTTGAGAATTATCTGCTCAAATATTCAGTGGTACTTGTCGAGTCATCTGTACTTTCTGTTGCGAGAGAAAGGGAAATGGTTCATGTGTGGTGCTCTGCGTATCTGTGTCTACACGTGTGGTGGGTGTAACCTAATTTGGGAGTAAGGATGGCTATTTAGATGTTGGTTATTTCTTTATAATTTCTTTGAACCTGCTTTGCATATTTTACCAGTGTCTTGAATGATTTTATTGAGCTTATCAGCTGATGTCCCATCTGCAATCATTGATCGGAACTACTTAAATC